GGCACCGTAGCCAGCCCGTGCCCCTTTAAGGGGTCCGGGGCCGGGAGGGGGGCAATAGAGTTTCCCTGGTGTTGGCCAGAGTGGCCAACAGGAAAACCTGGGGCGGGCTAGCCTCCCACTAGTTCTAATTAAGGGACTACACACCCCTTAATTCGAACTAGTAAGTTCGAACTAGGCTTAATCCTCGTAAAATGAGGTTTTCCTAGTTCGAACTAAGCGCTCCGCTAGTTCGATTCAAATTCGAACTAATGGAGCGCTAGCGTAGCGCCTATGAATGTTAGTTCGAACTAACGTCCGTTAGTTCGAACTAACATTGTACTGTAGACATACCCTAAGAGAGGATAGAACTGGGACATTGTGATGGCACTACAATCCCCATGTACGTGTTTATGGGAAGAAGCAGGTGTATGCAGCAGACACCCCCTCTACAAATTGTCCTCTGCTTTCTACCTGCTAGCTTTGGGGATAGCCACACAGGCAAGAACCAGGCAAGGACCTGGTCAACAGAAGAGTGGGGGGGGATTTGGTAGCAGCCTTTAACTATCTGAAGGGGGGTTCCAAAGAGGATGGAGAGAGGCTGTTCTCAGTAGTGATAGATGGCAGAACAAGGAGCAATGGTCTCAAGTTACAGTGGGGGAAGTTTAGGTTGGATATTAGGAAAAACTATTTCACTAGGAGGGTAGTGAAGCACTGGAAGGGGTTACCTACGGAGGTGGTGGAATCTCCATCTCTAGAGGTTTTTAAGTCCTGGGTTGACAAAGCCCTCGCTGGGATGATTTAGTTGGGGTTGATCCTGCTTTGGTCAGGGGGTTGGACTCAACCTCCAGAGGTCTCGTCCAACCCTAGGATTCTATGACCTGGAGTGATGTAGCAGCTGCACTATGAATACCCAGGAATCAAAACACAGAAAGCTCTGCAGAAGGAGGGATGTGCCTGAAAGATAGCCGGACCATGGTATTCCCAGTTCAGCCATCTGGAGAAGTGACTACAGACAACATTCTCCACTGTTCTGGAACCACATGTACTTCAGCTTATGCAACACCTCTCCAAGGGTAAGCTTTGGATCACATGCTGTTCA